AAAGCGATCAAATGCATGCAACATATAGTTAGAGGAAAGGCAGCACTTGATGCAGTGACTTGTGATTACATCCATAACTTAAAAACCTGATAACTGATACTCGATGTTCACCTAGCTGAGAAAATGCTCATATATTCATAGTTCATTGAAGCTCACCATAAAAACAGGACCATGACAGAAACTGAGATAAATTTCTAAACAGAACAATCATTCTGCATACCAGAACTCCAGAAGCATGAGTTGAAACATGATAAAATTCATCATCAGAATCCAAAACAAGGTATATGAAAATGACAGCATCATGCTTTGGTCATCATAATTTCCTAAGCTTAGCGTTCTGAGTTTCTGCAATTTTGAAGCTATGAGCCAAGTACAGAGCTGCAGTCTTGAAGAGTACACATCAGGGCATCTGAATGTGTTAAGAATGAAATGCAACTGCAGTTGCTGCCCATATATAGCCAGTTTGCTGCAATCATTTCATTGCATACCTCAGGTGGCTATTTTCCCATTGCAAGCAGATGCATATGCATCGGCAAGGCTAGGAAGAACATCCTTATGAGGATGTACAAACTTAGAGCAGAACACGCTATCACTAAGCGTGACCATGGAGTAGAAGCTTTGATCTTTTCGGATCAATCCTTTCTCCAGGAGCACCTTCATCACGTAATGCCGGGGCACCAGTCGGCGTTCCAAACTGTACATCAGGATTGTGGGCCTGTCCTGAATGTACTTGGTATCGACGCCAACCACATTGGTCAGGAACTCACAGGCGCGCTGAATCCTCTCCCTGGAGCGTGTCAGCACCAACGGGTTCCTTTGCACCATTCTGGCAACCTCAGCGTCTGAGCACCTGAGAATCTTGGCCATCATCTCGAGCTTAGAGGCCATGGTCTCCGGGCCGAGGCTCGCCACAGCGGTCACAGCCTGCCTGAACAAAAACGTGTTGCGGGGCACGCCCATCTCATCAGCACGCACGAGGATGGCCCTGGTGGTGTCCGGATTGCCGGTGAGCAGCCTCGGGTTGGCAACGCACATGGTGGAGCACTCCTGGACAGATAGACCGCACTCCTGGAGCAGCCGGATGTTGGTCTTCACCACCTTGTCGAGGTCGGAGGTGACGAGGTACAAGTTACGCCTGACGATGCGGAGGAACTTGTCGGGCGAGCCGAGTAAGGGCATCCAGAAGCCGAGCTTCTGGTCGATGTTGAAGGTGCGGAAGGAGCAGGGGGCCACGCGGACGAAGCTGATGATCTGCGCGGCGGAGAAGCCGTAGCTGTGGAAGCGGTCCACGCGGATCCGCAGGGTGTTGTCGACGCTGCAGCTGAGGATGCGCGGGTCTTTGGCCACGAGCAGCCTGATATCGGCCTTGGAGAGGCCGAGCGCCGGGCCGGTGAGGAAGGAGAGCACTGCGTCGGCGTGGGAGGACGATTTCCAGTGGGAGATCCACTTGGCGGCTTTCGCGGCTTGCTCCCGGGTGAGGCCGCAGGCGGAGACGAGGTAGTCATCGGCGGCGAAGTGGCCCGGAAAGGAGTAGGTCGCGGCGGCGGTGGAGAGGAGAGCGCGCTCGAGGGAGAGCTGTACGAGGGATGCGGAGCGGTGGACGGGAAGGAGATCTTGCAGGTGAAGGGAGAGATGTTTTTGGAGGCGGAGCATGGCGGCGGCGGCGGCAGTAGTGCCAGGCTCCGACCTCAGCCTCTCAGGCTCTCACGCACTCCTTACCCCTCAGCGAGTCACAAAACCTCCACCAGCGCGACCGGAGATCTGTTGGGCTGAAAAGCATTATTTGAGCCCACAAGTGTCGGGCCGAATCCAACAAGAAAACACTGTTGTTTTTTTTGAAACACTGTTGAATTTACTAATGCAGTATATTTCCCAAAAAAATAAAACTAACGCAGCGTATGCGAGCAAATGCCCTGGATCCATGGTAAAACTTTAGCTGCACTTTTTTTTTTTTTTTTTCATGGGGATCCAAACAGGGGGTTTAAAAGTGAGCAAATAGCTAAAAACTGGCTAAAATCTTTTGCTCCCCAAAAGGCCCTAAACTGAGCTAAACTCGCTCGGGGCGGGCGTTGGACGCCCTATGCCCTCTTGCCGCTCGCATGCATGGTTGTGCATAGATAATTAAATGAGGGTAAATCAGTCATTGTAGATTATAGAACTAAAGTTTAGCCCATGGATTCAAAACACCCACAGGAACTAAAGTTTAGGGGCCCTAAACTTTAGTCCTTGGACTAGTGATCCAAACACCACCAAAATCAATGAGTTTTTAGCCTAATCCGGCGAGTAATCATCAAAAATATTTTTCAAGAAAGAAGTTTCCAAAATTAGGACTTTCAGAGTCGCCTCTTCATGCACAAGTTATCTGTTATCTGCTTGCTAGTACTTCCTTTGTCCACAAATAATAAGTGTATATTTAGAAGTACTTACTCCCTCGAAAAAAAGATTCATTTCTAGGATAGTGCTAAGTCAAACGATCAAGTTTGATAACATTATTATAAAGATAATTATATTTATCATATAAAATAAGTATATAGTTACATTCTTGTATAGCTACTTGGATCATGCATGTTGATACTATTTTTTATAAACTTAGTTAAACTTAAAAATAGTTTGACTTTAAGTAGATCTATAATTGCTTATTTTTTGGATGATGTTAAAACATATTCCCAAAGTTTGACACGTGCCTAACTGAAGAAACCGAGTCCTTTCTTCAAAGTTACCTAACCTCCCCTCTGTTGCATTCTGGTGATACAAAGTTTCGGATGGGTTTCTTTGCTGAAGTACAACAATGTTTGTAATCCCTGTTATTTAACCCTGAAGGAACAAAACTGATTACTGACAAATGTTTTATATTTTGAACCAGTATTCAGTTAAGCACTTGCCAGAACTTTTGGTGCAGTGTAGCTGATGTAAGGAAAAGATCTCCATCAGACCATCTTTTTGCCAAACAAAAGGTCGTATAAACAGAATACAGGATGAAATTCTATTTAAATCACTTCAGTTTGGCACACGTCATGATGTATGCCACATTCGACTGGATGACAGTGTCAAGTTTATGTTAGCGGCAAGCTGACCACAGAAGGAAATACATTGCTCCTACATCAAGAGTCAAGACTGTTGTTAATCAGCAATGTTCATTTTCTTAGTTACAAACATCAGTTTCGCTGTCAACAGTAAGAGACTTACAATAAACGATCACGAATCTGCTTGCTCTGTTTAGTTTATTAGTAGAATGAGCTTGCAAACTGGAGACGCACCCACACCTCCATTCCTCCAAGGTCCAATCTCTCCTTGCAGTCCAGTCAATGTTGAGATCCCTCCGGCACCTTCCCAGCATATCTTCTATTACCTCTCACAGAATCATCTATGAGAAAACTCTCAAAAGGAAATTTTCCCATTCAGGACTGGGGTTGCACACAACGGTCACAGACTCGGTCTATTAGCATGTCCAACTGGAGTCGCCTCTCAGATTCTACTGACGAGACCGGCATTCCTTCCATGGTTCCATCCAAATTCCAAACCTTGCTGTGTTACCTGTATTATGATATCTTCAGTGTGGACCAGCTTCCTACATCTCTTTGATGAAATATTTGTCAATGAATGACTAGGACCCTAGGTAAAACTTGAGCATTGTACAGAGCTTGGCTCAGATGGTTCACATCTTCAAAAAGCACTGTTTTTGTACTTCCCTAGCTCAAAGTTAATTGGATAACGCCGGGGGCTGGGCGGTAACGACGTTGCACAGGCCCATATCTGCCATTAAGCATTAAGTAACAATGCCGATTACTTAAGACTTAAGAGTGATTTACCTGCCATTAAGCATTAAGTTTTCAGCGGTCTGGTCTCACCTGTGTTTGGTTTTTTATTAGTCCAAACCTTTTATGTTCCCAGCCCACCTCATAGCTCAGCCTGGAATGAGGTGTTCTTATTTGTAAGGGGCTTTTTTCTCTTAATACAAAGATATGCAGCTTTCCTGCATATTCGATAAAAAAGGACTTAAGAGTGATTTACATAAGAACCATGGCTACATTTTGAAATAGCTTTCAAAGCACTCGGCAGGCTTTTTCCTACAATCTCTTGTGTTAGGAAAAAAATCTATCTACATTTTCATTCACTTGAATTCGTAGATCAATGGTTTACGGTTACCAACTCGCCCTGGGTGGGTTCTAGGAATGAGAGCACTTATGTATCGAGGGGCTTTAGCACAAAATGAAGTAGCTAGCTAGCTAACTAAGCTATGATGGAAGGACGGGGCTAGGGCAATAAAATCATTGAAACACCACTAAGGCCGGAAAAAGCAAGTGCAAGTCCCGATAACTGGAAGAAATGCCTACCGTGCGTAGTATCGATGTACAACCAAGACTAAAATTGGACTAGACCCTTTATCTTGGGCTCGTTCCGAGTAAGGATTCTTTTGCCTACCTTGATTCAACTTCCGACAAAGACAGGGAGGGAGCTAGTTCTTCCAAGGATGGATAAGCACTTTCTTTTTTTTTTATGTTGAGATCCATAGTTGCCATAGAGAGTCAGTCCATTTCGTCTGGGTGGAATTCATGTACTGCTATTATGCCGGATGAGGATCACTGTGTCTTGTAGAGTGTATACATAAACTGATAAACGGGCACAAGCACAATACAAGATGAGGCTCTGTTAAAACATCAGTATGGGTCTATGGGACACAACTAGGAGACATTATAAAAGATGATGATCTCATCATATGTTAACTAAAATCTGATAGTAAAAGGAAATATTGCTTGCACTTTCATATGAAAACCATCATTCAGTTATAACTTAGAAGTGAACATTTTCATGGCTATAACATGAGTTTATGCTGTCACTTGTATGGACCTAAGTTAGATGTCCATGAAGCTGTTTCGTCTGCTATAGTTCATCAGTGGAATGATTTTTTGTTGAAGCAAGATCAGTAGAATGAGGTATTGAGGTTACACAAGTACACAATGGAGGGAACACACACCTTCAAAATTCTCCTCGCGTTCCAGTCATAGACCCCGGGTCACTTTCCCCATACAAGCAGACTCATAAGCATCAGCAAGACCAGGGATGGATTCCTCATAGGGAGCAACGAATTTCTCCAAGAATTTCTCTTCTGTTGGCGCCACCACGTTGAAGAAGCACCGGTCTTGCTCAACCGACCCCTTGTCTTTGAGAACCGTCAGCACGAGGTGCCGGGGCACTATCCGCCTCTCGAGGCTGTACATGAGAAGCACCGAACGGCGGGCGATGTACTGCGGCGGCAGCCCGACCTCGTTGAGCAGGAACTCCGCGTTCCGGCGCAGCCTCTCCTCGGACGCAACGAGGATCCGCGGTGCCTTACTGATGGCCAGGTTCACCTCCTCCTGCGACCACCCGAGCGTCTCCTTGAGGACGGCGACCTTGGAGTCGACCTTCTCCTGGCCGATACATCCCGCAGTGGAGAGCGCGTGGCGGAACATCTGGGAGCCCGGCGCCACGCCGAGCTGCGTGGCGCGCCGCACGGCGTCCTGGACGTACTCCGGGGGCATGGTGACGAGCCGCGGCGCGGCCACGAGCAGCTTGGCGATGTCGCCCGCGCTGAGGCCGCACTTCTTGAGGAAGGCGACGTTGGGCTCGACCACCTTCTCGAGGTCGGAGCTGAGGAGCCAGTAGTTCCAGTCGCTGGCCTGGAGCAGCCGCTCGGGGGAGCCGAAGAGCGGGAGCCAGAACCGTACCTTGGAGACGAAGCTGCGGCAGAGGAAGTAGCGGCCAGCGATCTGCGCGAGGCGCGCGATCTGGGACGGGGAGAGGCCGAGCGCGCGGAGCTCCCCGGAGATAGGAGCCAGGGAGCGGTCGATGCGAGCGCAGAGGACGCGGGGATTGGACGCCACGACGGCGGCCACCTCCTTGGGGGAGAGCCCGAGGTCCGCGAGGAAGGCGAGCACGGCGTCCGCGTTGGAGGCGGACTTGAGGTGCGCGAGGCTCTTGGACGCCTTGAGCGCCTGCGGTGGGCTGAGGTGGCAGCTGGCGACGAGGTAGTCCTCGACGGCGAAGGTACTCGCGGGAGCGGGACCCGGGGTGGCGGTTGTGCTCGTGGCGGACGCGCGGGTGACGGTGAGGCGGAGGCAGGAGCGGGTGGGGAGCATGGAGACGACGGCGACGGGAGCGGCGGCGGAGAAGATGATGAGAGGCATGGCTGGGAGCGGGTGGTCATTTTTCACTTGGGTCGTGTATAATCCGCACGCTGCAGACGACAACGACAACCGCAAAGGTGCCGCTGCCACAGACGACAACCGCACGCTGCAGTCTGCGCAGCGGGGCTGCGCCGTCCCCGTCCTCACTCCTCACCGGGCTCACCCAAACAAAGGTACAGCGAATATGGAATTGATCCCGTTCAACTGAATATTCGAACTCGTTCGGCGATAACGATCTTCAGGTTCAGAGTTTGCACCTGGCCAGAGATAACGTTAGCGAATTGCCTGACATCAGCTTGATATCGCAGTTAACAGTAGTTGATTGAATTATCAGGCAAGCTAAAGAATTGCAAAGGAGTCGGCTTTGCCATCTTGCCGTGAACAGCTACACATGGAGAATGCTAAGAACAAATCTTTGTTCTTCAGTTCGTCGGGGTAAAATGCAAACCATTCTGGCGGGATGTGGAGTACTAATAATGATAATTAAAGAGAAAAGCTTTGCAGGAATGCAGGTCATTGAACAAAAAAACACAACGGAAAGATGAGGAAATCAGATAAATTTAGTACAATGCTATCAGAAAAAAATAGGAGACGAGAATCAATGACAAATTGGCTATACTGGTACGCTACAATTTGATCAAGTCACGGTTATACTTTGCATTTCTCTTATATTTTTTGGGTGTCTGTTTTTCATTTCATACGACGATATAATTTTATCATTATTTGACTATATAAAAAGATTATACATTATCTCTTGCAAAAATGTTTTTTAATTGTACTATAATTAACTATGTAACATTGTTGTCCGAAAAATGAAATATAGCAACTTCTTTTACCTTGTTCAGCTGTTCAAGTTATTCAAGTTCAATCTGATATCGTCTTTGGCTCTTTGTCTTAAATTTCATTTTTTGTTTTTTTTAAGATTTTTCTCTCACAACAATTCAACCTAAAATGGTGTTTTTCAACGCAACCAAAGTTCGCAGACCAATAACGTGTTTGTCTCATTGAAAGTTTGAAGCCTGTAGCTCACACACAGGACAACGTAGACGCTCACAGCATGCACGTACACCGACCTTTATAAACACATGTACGTAAACTCTAACCCTATAAGCACCTCCAAATAACTAAGCAGATTTATTAAGACGCCTTAGACTTGAATCCGGGTGGGCAGGTTCTACCATAAGGAACCCAACCAACCGATCTATGATCAGTTCGTAGAGAAATTTTGATATTTAACCCTGAGTTCGCACGCCCCTCAACATTTAACTCCAATTCGCACGCCTTTTGAAAATTAACCCTGCGCACGCGAATTGTTTCGATATAAGGGATTTCTCATATTTTCTCTCATTTTCTATTTCTAATTATTTTTTCTCACTCCTCTGGACACGGGAAAAGACCGAAATATCCCCACTCGTATCCTATCTTCAACCCGCTCGCATAGTCTCCTTTTTTTCTTCGTCATGACCGCAAATGGGAGTCGCTTTGGCGGCGCCGCCGCCCCACCCCACCTTAGTGGCTGTTTGTTGGTGGCCACTGTCGCCGCCCCCAACACCGCCACTGGTGGCACGGCCGGCCATGCTGGTTCGCGATTCCGGCGGCCACCCTTTATGGCACAGAGGAGGATGTAGAGAATGATGCCCTTCACGCTGGCGCTCCACACGTCCACCTTAGTGGCCTTGTAGTACGCGCTCCCCAACACCTACGTGCCACGGCCACACGACTTCGACGATGGTGCCGAAGAAGCCGCCGCGGCATGCTCCAAGTAGTGCCCACGCGCGATGATGCGATCGAATAGCTCACCGCCCACGCAGAGCTCCATGACGAGGTGCACGGCGCTGCCATGCGTCCTCGCAATAGGCCTCGCGGTGCAGTACCACGGCGGCACCGCCAAGGGATGACTACTTTACCATCGCCATGTTCAATTGGCTTATAAGTCGTATTTTTTCAGCCAACGAACAATTTTTCTCTCACAACCAATCAGCCAACAGTACTTTCAACCATGACTTATCCGCCAAGCCAACATGGCACGCATACAACTCGATCGAGGGCCTGTCCATAGAACATCTCTTCGAGCGAGGTGGCATCTTCTGTGCATCCAATGTGACCGCCACGATCTTCATGGGCGCCACGGTCGGCGGCGGCTCGGCGGTGGACTGGTCAGCGAGCATCCGCACGCCAAAGCACGACACCGACACGACGTGGCTCGTGGACGCCACCGTGTGTGGCGCGGTCATAGTAAAAACAGCCAGCTAGAATTAGAAAATGAGTGAAATCCTCCAAAATCCCTCGTATATGAAAAAAAAAATCACGTGCGCAGGGTTAAATTTCAAAATACCTACGAATTGGAAGCGTTTTCTAGAAAAGCTGGTGTGTTGATGATTATTTTTGTTAAAAAATACTAATGAGTGACAAGATCAGTTACATGACTATACATTTGGCACGTATTATTCTGAGGCCATGTACATTTTTATAAGATTCATCGTGGTTGAGCTTATGATTTATATGAGCCCCATCGTTCGAATATTTCTATTTTAGGAGATTAAAATAAGTGGAATATTTGATTTTAAGTTGTTGGAACGGTATTTTTGGGGATTCTGAGAAATTAATAATTACTAAAATAATTATGCCAAGGAAAACATTGTGATCTCTATGCGCACGATATTCACCATGTTCGTTTGATCGTTTCTGTGGCTTATAAGCTGACTGGTGTTGTTTTGTTGTGAGAGAAAAACACTATATCTTGGCTGATAAGCATGGCTGATACGATCAAACGAACATGGTGATGACTTTCGGCTAGTTAGTTAGCTGCACGGAATGCTAAACAAATTTGGATATCTAAGGAAGTGATTAGAGAGAGGAAGGTTTTGCAAATCAAAGGATGAGGCCCATGGTTCAGTACGTGACTCAAGTGCACGCATGCCGCCCGAGACACGGATATGTGCGTATGCTAGCTGGATTTCGGTGATATTTGTTGGGCAGATTCGTTCCAATCTGCGTACGTTCCTTGCTTGGCCAAGGAGTTGATCCCGACTCCTTAGTTTTGCCCCTTATATAAACCGACCCCAGCCAACAGGGGAGGTCTCTTCGGCTATACGCATCGACGCAACACGCCAACGCCCTGCTGCCCATCTCGCCGAGAAGAAGTCACACGCGTGCTCCTGCCTCTCTCCAGCACTGCAGCTTCCAGACGCTAATCCTCTTCAACTGAGCCATGTCCTCCGGTTCACCCGCCACGTTTCCTGGTGAGCAATCAATCTAGAAGTGATAACACATTCACGTGAATATTACAATATGGCAAGGGTCATCGGCTCTTTCGATCTACTACCGTGAGAAGGAGAAGGCCAGCAACTTGACGACATCAGAACCCTCGCCGCGCGAGGTCGTTGTCGAGTCACTGATGATGAAGCCAAGTCTCGTCGCAGCACGCGAGACGGAAAACCTCCGCTCGACGCGATGATAAAAATGAAGACCGCGCGAGATGGGAAAACACCGCTTGTTGCAGCGCACGAGACGGGGAACCCCCGCTCGTCACGATGACAAAAATTATGATGCGCAAGACGGGAAAACTCTGCGCGTCGCAGCGCGCGAGACTGCAAAACCCCGCTTATCGCAATAAAGATGCTCGAGACTCGAGACGGGAAAACCCCGTTCGTCGCAGCGCACGAGACGGAAAACCTCCGCTCATCGCAATGACAAAAAGGCAAGACGCGCGAGACGGAAAACCCTGCTCGTCGTGATGTTGAAAACAAAATCAAGAAGCGCGAGAGAATGACAAAGAACGCGTGAGACGGAAACACCTCGCTCATCGCGACGACGATGATCACGCCCTGTACTTCAGTGAATTTTCATGTGACATCCGGCCGGCATACTCATTACTTTATTAATGGCGAGCTTCAGTACTTCATGTATTCTGGTGTTCGTTTTCAATATTGTGCAATGCTGAAGGCTATTATTCAGCTAGCGGCTATTATTCAGCTAGCAAATAAATGCTATGTCATGCTGCAAGTCACGACATATAATTTATCATTCGTCTAGTACCGCCGAGGCTAGAGGAATCATGGTCACTGCTTCATATACACGTCCTAATTAACGGGATCGGACATATTGTTACCGGGCATTAACGAGGCAAAGGCAACTCACACACGTCCATATTAATGAAGGACGACGCTATGCTGTTATCCGCTCGTCTGCTCCTATGATTTGATTGGTTCCTTCTCATTAATGACAAGCTATGTGTTGCGGACATTATATAAACTCCTGAAATCTCTAAAAAGGTCTCACGGGTATATATGTGTATGCGCCCTATACTTCAGTGAATTTTCATGCATGGCCGTGACATCCGGCCGGCATACTCATTACTTTATTAATGGCGAGCTTCAGTACTTCATGTATTCTGGTGTTCGTTTTCAATATTGTGCAATGCTGGAAGGCTATTATTCAGCTAGCGGCTATTATTCAGCTAGCAAGCAATAGTCTAAATGCTATGTCATGCTGCAAGTCACGACATATAATTTATCATTTGTCTAGTACCGCCGAGGCTAGAGGAATCATGGTCAAGTACCAACGAGGCAAGGTCACTGCTTCATATACACGTCCTAATTAACGGGATCGGACATCTTGTTACTGGGCATTAAGGAGGCAAAGGCAACTCACACACGTCCATATTAACGAAGGACGGCGTATATGGCTAGACAACGACGAGGCAATAAAGCCACCCATAATTACTACGCCATATATCGCATAAGGCTGATGACGAGCAATCAGATATATGATGATCATAAAGTGCAGCTTAATCGGAGGTTTTCCACGAGTTTATCTTGCGGATGTAATTAACCGCATGTGCCTAACAGGCCTCGGAATCAGCGAACTACATAATTTTCTACAAGTCAGACCTCTCCTCGAGCATGACGCTGTAGACAGAAGAAGATATTTTTTTCGTTGATCATGTATTTTATATATTCAAGAAAGAATTAATGAAATATGTGATTCTCAAATATGTGTGCACGTGTCTCCTTTGCATTACATTTATTTTATTCATGTCATCCTTCCGTTTTCGACCAAATAGCTGGACAAATAAAGTAGAAGCGGCGGTTAAAACAAGCTGATCCGATCCAGCTTCTGCTTTTTAGCACAAATGAGTTGTGAGAATAAGTGTGACCAGAATAAGCTGTAGAAAAAAAATAACGTTTGGGTATTGATTTCAGCTAATTTTGATCATAATCAGCTTATAAGCCGTTGAAGGACGTGCAAACACAGGGTTGAATATCAAAATTTCTCCACACACAACAAAACTCTCCAACCAGGTCGGGGTCGCCCGTCTTCGTCGCCGCCAGCCACGATGCTCCGCTTCCGAATCCACCTCCTTGCCGCCGTCCGCGCCGCCTCACCTCTCCACGCTGGCTCCTCCCACCACTACCTCCTCTACAGAAGCACCACCACCACGCCCGCCTCTCAGTTCGTCGTCGAGGACTACCTCACCAGCAGCTGTGGCCTGACGCCAGCGAAGGCCCGCAAGGCCTCCAGACTCTTGTCCCGCCTCAAGTCCCCCGCAAATCCAGACGCTGTCCGGGCCTTCCTTGCCGGTATCGGCGTCTCCAAAGCCGACCTCACCGCCGGAATGGCCCGGGACCCGCGGTTCCTCTGCTCCAATGTGGACAAAACCCTAACCCCCTGCATTGCCCAGCTCCGCGACATCGGCCTCTCCCCGCCCCAGATCTCCAGTCTCATCTCCGTCGCCCCCCGTGTCTTACTGTGTCCGGGTATGGTCAACCGCCTCGCATTCTACCTCTCTTTCTTGGGCTCCTACGACAAGTTACACACCACCCTCAGGAGGACCATGTACCTGCTCAGTCAAAATCTCGAGCGTGTTGTCAAACCTAATATGGCGTTACTGCGACAGTCCGGCCTAGCTGAGTCTGAAATTGCTAAGCTCGTTTTGCGCGCCCCACGCTTATTCGCATTGGAGACAGGCCGTGTCAAGGAAATTGTGGTGTGTGCAGACATGCTTGGTGTGCCACGCAGTTCAGGAATATTCAAGTATGCCCTTGCTTCCATCTCCAGCATAAGTCCTGGGAAGTTAAATGATAGGTCAGATTTCTTGAAGAAGACTCTTGGATGCTCTCAGGCTGAGTTGGGCGCTGCTGTGCGGAAGTTCCCAAACGTTCTGAATTTTTCAGAGGGCAGGCTGAGTAGTGTGGTAGATTTCCTGAAGACGGAGGTTGGTCTGGATTCCAAGTACATAGTGCGTAGGCCAGCAGTCCTCGGCTATAGCTTGCCAAGGCGTCTTATGCCCCGGCATTATGTGCTAAAAGCTCTTAAGGCGAAGGGCTTGGTGGAGGAACATGTTGACTTCTATGGAACAATTTCTCGAAATGAGAAAATATTCTCCAAGAGGTTTCTTGATCCTTACAAGGACAGTTTTCCAGGGCTTGCAGATGCTTATGCTGCCGCTTGTGCAGGCCAAGTTCCTCCTGTAATCCAACCATGATAGACTGAAATGGAAACATCCTCTGACATATTAAATCGTTCTCATTTCAATTTTGTTTTCTCGTGACTTCATTATTCATGACATAATTAAGCTTGTACCCTGGTGGCATCACAAGCATTATATTTGGAAAACCCAAAGTTTGCTTATCTGCTGCATGGCTTCTTCATCTTGATTGGATAAATAGTGTTTCTTCCAGTCTTGTTATAGGCATGCTTCTGAATTCTTCTCTTTTAGCTGGCGAATCTTTAGACTCGACTGGTTTCTAGTGCGTAGTTATGATTTATGTAATATATCCAATTGATTTCGAGATACTAGACTGCTTGCTAATATTTTTTCTCCCTGGTGGTGATGTCCTACTTCTATATGTTTGCTGGTCTCAATGATTTGTTGGAACATATTTTTCACCATAATTCCAAAACTGTTGTTGTCCTCTCTTTGTAGTTGTTTTTAAAGAACTTACTCATTCATCTCAGGAACAACTTCCCATATGGCACAGTGAAATTCGATGAACTGCAGCTGGGGCATGTCTTTTTTATGCTGCTGCTTTTTCTACCTTTTTATTGTGCAGTTGTATAAAATACTTAAATCCTCACTTATTGATATGTTAAGTTTCAGTTCTGCAATGGAATGACTACTTGGCACTATTTGTATATTGTCTTTGAGAAGCTGATTGATAGTCCGATCACTAAGCACCTGTTTTTTTAGTATGTACTATTTTTCATTCGTCAACTTCTGTTTAGAGTATGGATTACTAGCCACAACCATAATTGCAAGATTGATCCTGTAAGTCATGAATTAAAGCCAACTAGTCATTGAATTAAAGCCAACTGAAGCAAGTCAAGTTCTGTGCAATTAGAACAGTAGAGCATGACAGAAGAGTTGAAGCAGACAACTCTGGCAAAATGTCAATACCTCAGTTAACGGTACCACACCACCAATAGTAGTATCATGTTCAATAGTTGTTCTGTGACATGGTCAAGCAATTTCATTCTAGTTGTATGTTGTACCACACCTAACACTGTATTGGAGAAACTTATGCTTGTGTTGAGGTCTCACCTTAAGTTCCTGCTCCATAATCCAAAGAATTTTAATATGATGGAGCTGATCCTTAAGCTGCTTCTTCAATACTCTGTTGGTACTTAATTGTGTGCATGTGAGCAAATTTTGTTTTATGTTTTTTGTATCCTCATATTTAATTTTAAAAAGTTGATCTCTCTCTCCCACCTCTCATATTGTTTCTGTTGGAGATGACTGAAGATTGGATAATGCTGGAAGAATATCATCTTTCATGATCATGTGGCTTGTTGCACACTTCCATGCTTAGCGTATAGTTTCCATTTATTTGGTCCACTATTTCTTGAATTGCAGTGTATTCAAGCTAAGAATGTGCTGTGTATCTCTAGAGTAATGCTATGGTGAAACAGCTTTTGCTACAGTGCAACACGAGCAAGAGTTAGGACTGCTAAAAAGGCTAAAAGTTATCCATGCCTTGATTGCCCTTATAGCTTTGGTCGCATCATCGAGGTATTTAGGACTTAGGTGACCTAACTTGGGCTGTCTGCTGCTTATACTTTTCCTGCTTTGCTCTGTTTACCCATTATGTTGGCTGCCTGCTTTTTTTTTTTTTTGAACTGAGGCTGCTTGTTTTGATAATGGGTGTTTCTTCCAGTCTTGTTAGAAGCGTGCTGCCAAATTATTTTGCATGGTATGAATCCCTCATATTATACCTTATCAGTTTTTAGTTAAAGGAATGATTGTTAATTTATCACCCAATGGTAGAAATATCATGTGCTGCATGTGCTACTTTAATTTCTCTGTTGGAACCTACGTTTCACCGTCTGAAAGTTCCCTTTTATTTGTTTTGTTAGAAGTTGTTAAACTGTACTTTTGTCATCGGGCACTGAAAGTTCCCGTGCACGCTGGGTTGAAAAATATCAGTTATTTGTGCTTCTAGTATTCTGCCTTTGTTTGGGCAGTTGTATGAAGTGTTCAATTCCTCACCTTGTGATACTGCAGTAGAAAATGATTACTTGGCACATGCACTGATCCACTGAAGATATGCTTTTCTTTATGATCAAACCATTAACAACCTGCCCCATAAGGCCATAAGCCTTTTGGGAGTTGTCTGGTGCCTCAAGCCAAAAAAAAAAAAAGCTAGACAGTCTTAACATTATCTGACGATTCCATTATATATTGCTTTATATTTTGCTCATAGTTAATATAGGGTGTTCTAGCATATTTCATTTAATGTTTTAAATTGGCTCCAGTGACGTAGCTAGTCAACTGTATAACCTCTTGGGGGTTGACACAAAAGTTTCCATTGTTTCTGTTGGAGTTGGACACAAGAAACTTCGCTTTCCTTGTTTTACTTTCACCATCACGTGACTTGACTTGTTTTTGCTGAAATTCACTTCTATGTTCTAGCATTGCGTTTCCATTAGTTTTGATGTTGTTTCTTGAATCACAGTGCCTTCAAGGTTGGCATGCTTTTTTATCACGGCTTTTCTCATGTTAAACGCTCTGACGAAGTGAACGCTGGAGCTCATAAGGCTTCTCCTCGTGCCCTGGTCCGTAGCCAATTTCATTCAGTCTCAATGAATACGGAGTTATGAATCGGAGCTGCAAATTTCATTTCATTCTGTCCTAAATAGGCCCCTACTCGAAGGGTTGAGTCTTTTTACTGGGCCGGCCCACTAACGGAACCCCAGCTTTGCTCAGGGTCTCGGCCGCACGCGAGCTAGCGCACAGCGGGCGTCGCGGCTGGCGGCGAATGGCGATGCTGCGCCTCCGAATCCGAAGCCTCCTCTCCGCCGTCCATGCCCGTGCACCCTCCTCGCTCCACCCCTTTCACCTCCTCTCCACCGCGACCGCGCCCCCTGGCCGCTTTGTCGCCGAAGATTTCCTCGTCACCAGCTGCGGTCATGCGCCCGCCCTAGCCCTCAGTTCTTCGCGGATAGCGGCCTCACAAAACCCGAGGTCGCCGCTGCAATAGCCAGGGAGCCGCGCCTCCTCTGCTGCAAGGTGGAGAAAACCTTAAGGCCACGCCTTGCCCAGCTCCGCGACATCGGCTTTCCCCGCCCCAGATCCCCAGTCTCATCGCCATCGCCCCCAATGTCTTTCAGTCTCGGTTCATGGTCCGCCACCTCGCATTCTACCTATCTTTCTTGGGCTCCTGACAGAATCCCGATCACAGCAAGAGCAAGAGAGAGTGGATGAACGCACGCGAACGCAGGTGGAACACAAGTGATTTTGGTGATGCAAAGCGGCAGCTTTTCTGTTGATTGAACTCGCATTAAGAAGTCGTGGCCAGCAATGGCCGAGTCAGTTGCGGCACGCTCGTGCTCAGTCACCGCCATCCCGATGGCCTGGGACGTGCCGCAGGGCATGCAGCTTGGTCACCGTGCGCACTAGCCACGCAACTAGCACAGCCACAGCGCTAATCAGCTTGATCTCTATCCTAGCTAAGATTAGCCAATAGCTAAGTATAGACTGTGTGTTCGGCTGTTCACTTCTCCGCTTGTTTCAGCTTGTTTCAGTCTATTCTCTCTCACAGAACACTATTGAATCATCCAAAATAATCCAAAATCTACTGTGTAAGTGAACAGCCGAGCGAGCTATAGTGTTCAGGAATTATTCAAACAATCTCCTCCTAAATCCTGAACACCTGCGCTAACTTTACCATGCCGATCCCGTGACGGAGTTCCTGGAAGTGAACGTGGCCAAGCGCCTTGGTGAGGATGTCGCTCAGCTGCAGCTCGGTGCCGATGAACTCGACATCGATCAGCTTGTTGTCGCAGCACTCCCGGATGAAATGGAACTTAATATCAATGTGCTTACTCTCGATCGTGATGCACAGGATTCTTCATCAGTGCGAGGGCGGACTTGTTGTCCACCATGAACTTGGGCACGGGGATTTTGCCGCCGATGAGCTCAGCCAGCAGGCGAGCCAGCCAAACCCCCTCGCACGCAGCTCCCGCGGCCGCGATGTACTCTGCCTCGCATGAGGACAGCGCAACCACCCTTTGCTTTGTCGACTGCCATGCAATTGGCCCGCCGGCAAGGAAGAACATGAGCCCGCTGGTGCTCTTCCAATCGTTGATGTCACCTGCAAGGTCGCTGTCGGAGTAGCCCAGCAACGTTGGCGCGACTTCTTCCCTCCGGGGTGATAATGCACTCCCCAGTGCATCGTGCCCGCCACATAGCGGAGGACACGCTTGATGGCCGCCATGTGCTCTTAACGCGGCGCCTCCATGAACCAGCTCAGGTAGCCCACCGCGAACGCCAGATCAGATCTGGAGTTACATAGATGCCTGAGGCTCCCGATTACGCTGCGGTACTCGGTGGCGTCCACGTTCGGCGTTGTGCCCTCCTTGAGCAGCTTAAGCTTAAGCTCTACGGGAGTGGCGCTAGGATTGTAGGCAGCCATCCCTGCTGTGGGGGCGGTACGACCCCGGATACCCACGGCGGACCACATGGGTTGCGTCCCCAGGAGCGACCCAGCCCACAAGATGAAGCCTTGCGGGACACGATTCTGCTCGGCGCCTCCCGCAAAATATAGGAAGGATATCATGAAGATACTACATGATCTGTTAGGATACGTACAATCCCATGATTCTTATAATCTGTTGTTACTTTTCAGTTATCTCTCAGATCTAACCAACTTGTAACCCTACCCCCCCGGACTATATAAGGCGGGCAAGGACCCTCCCCTCCAAAATCACGACATATCATACGATAGCTAATACAAACCAACAGACCACATGAGTAAGGTATTACGTCATACTGACGGCCTGAACCTGTATAACTCGTGTGTCTCTGTTGCTTTCTTGTTCTTGATCACGTGCTCCTCTGCCGATCAATCTACCTTCGTGGGATACCCCTCGGAGGACTGCCGACGATATTCTGTCGACAGTTGGCGCGCCAGGTAGGGGTGTGCGTGTTGTTTCCTTGTCGAACAAGATGACTTTTTCCGCAGGCTCTTCGTCCCTCCCGTAGCCCGA